CCCCAAAACCCCAAAACCCCAAAACCCCGTTTTATATCATTTAAATTGAAATGACAGTATTCCTGAATCAAAGGCATCCAAAATTTTAGATGAATTAAGTAATGACTCGAAACAAATTTTGGATCAAGTATCTAAAATTATTCCACAGTTAACTTAAGATCTTCTAACCCTAAAGCTTGCAAACAATCCTGAACTTGGTGACTTTTTTGTCTACATCCTTTAGCTTGTATTCCAAGGTCATCTTCCGCAGATTCTTCGTTTATTTTTGTTATAAAATCTTCGCTTGAGGAGAGAGATTTCAAAAAGGAAACAAATGGGTGCAAATCTATTCCTGCATCAGATAGAATCTCCTCTGAGTAATCTTCAGGCATTATAGATTTCCATTTACCTCCCAACGCATTTCCACAATTATTGATTGAGAGAAGAGTAATTTGAGAGTCTTGGAGAGCTGATTCAAGGTCCAAAGATTTCTTGAGGTCTAGCAAACATTCACTGAAATATATCTTTGGTAAGTGTTTAAAGCTACTCAAAATAAGTTTGAATTGCCTTGAACTGATCTAAATAAAGGTTCAAAAACTTCCATCATTTTTACATATTTTAAAAACACATCCAGCTGAGAATATCACATTTGTTCTATGGACAAAGTTAACTTACCTTTAATTTTGAAAAATACACACTATTGGTAACTCATCTACTAACAGAGCATATTTCATAAGCCAAAGCTGTGATATCCAGTCTTGGTGAACTCGATATATATTCAAGCTTTTTAACGTGCATTGGGAAATTATTAATAGCAAATGATCTGATTTCTGCAAAATGTTCTGTATTACTCATAACTAGACCAAGAACTGCTAGATCTGGCATTCTCTGATTTAAAATCGTAATGAAATCTATATTTAGACTAATCAGACTAGTATAAACCTTGCTACATACTGATATAAGTTATATCTCTGAAGTCTAGTGTAATTTCTTCTTTATCTCCATTCAAGAAAGTGTTTTTGACTCCAACAGTACATTCCCAAAGGACGTTTAGATGGCTTCTACGGCTGAGATCCAGGAGATCATCTATTAATAATTTTAAACGATATTGGTAATGACCAAGAAAGATGTAAGCATAGGTAAAGACATTGCCCATATTTTGTTGTTACTAAGCTAACCTCTTTTAATAATTCTTAATATCATAAATCCTTCTCTGGAGAGATATATTTTTGACGTATTTTACACTATAAGAAGGAATTTACATAAAACTTAAGATTAGAAAAATGCATAGTTTTAATCCAACAAGAGTATCATGAAGATTTGTCAACTCGGTAGTTAAATCTATCTGGACTATATGACCCTATTTCTGATAATTTGGTTTTAACATTTATACTGAGTCTCTTTAACCCCAGTTTTAATAAGAATTTTATGTAATATACTAGGCTTGCAATACTTTAAAACTCTTTTCTGGTTTCTTAATTAATATCTTGCTAATAAAGGTTCATATGTGTGCATTACATTTTGTTAAATTTATCTAACCTCTGAATTTTAATTTAGTATTTATTTACATAACTATAAAGATAAATACTGTGTCTTAGTTCAATCTTTTATTCATCAATATTTTTAAAGAGATATGGCAAGTAGGACCTATTTACTCTTAAAAGTATTGCTTCAGTATATTTACAATTATCCTAGGATGCAAAATTTAGTATCAAATAAAACCATACATACCGTAGATGGCAATAGGGTCGCTTTTGAGGGATTCCTTTACTTGCCCCATTAATGCATCTTTCTCCTCAGGAGTCAATTCGTCAGGTAAAGAGTCAGAATTAGCTAGCAATGATTTATGTGCTTGAGATGCCAATGGAGAAGAGAGTTCTGATGCTGGTGATACAGCCGTAGGGTAAGTAAGTGCTGGAGGCTCTTTTGATAACACTGGCTTAGAGAATGAAAGCACAGGTAATTGAGGTCTCTGATATGATTGAGCTCTATATTGCGTGATTTAGCATTCTGTATTAAAAATTTCCAGAATAATACTGATTTAATACAAAGCTTTAATCTTATCGAAACATACATTTGCAATTCCTGCATCAATTTTCTTTTCTCTTCTTGTAGCCTATAAAAATATTAACTCAGTCAGTCTTTAGTTATCTTACTTTTCAATTTTCTGTTCTAAACTCTTGTTTTCGTTCTCGAGCTCTTCGTGAGATCCTTTATATCAGAAATATGTCTTACTTGGATGTAGAGCAAGAGGTGAAGCCATCTGAGCTCTCTGCATTAGACTATGTTACCAAATGTTATGATGTGAACATAGGTAATTAGAAGCAATGACAGCAGAATTGATATTTCAATGTAATTTTAAGGTTAGACAAATTCTGAAACAGTAACTTGGAATCCAAATGGCTCAAGAAACATAGAGCTAGTAAATTCACCTGGAAGCAATAATATCGGTAGCTATTTTGATTTCCTCATTTGTCTTCTGAAGGTCTTTCTTATCTACTTTTGGTCCAAGATTGTTGCTGACAACATTCAATTTCTGCTTGATGTCGGTCATTTGGGATATAACTTCAGAGTCAAGAAATTTTTTTAATGCTTCAAATTGCTTCTGGGATTCAGACTTATCATTTTCTGAAGATGAGGCATTCTATATAAGGTTTAGCTTTAAATGCTTCAAAACTATCAAGAAATGGGAAAAGACTTTAGTCTTTGGTAGAGTGATGTAATACTTTTGAATTAACAGCACAAAATCAGAGCCTAATTTCGTAGTTTCATATTATTTTGATAAAAGGATATTTTGTAATTAAGCAATCTTTAGGATTTCATATGAAATCCTGTTTATTTTATAAAAAATACTACTACTCTGGAAAATTTCAGTGATCAAAGAATAAATGCATTTATACAAGAGCGACATGCCAACTTAAAGTAAGCCTAATTGTAGCTTTGAACAAATAAACAGATAAAGGTATTTGTTTATACAATTTCCATTCACAGATGAATGACAGTACTTAAAAGTTAAGACTAAAGTAGTGATAAATATGTTTGCTTCGAATGTATTTACACTATTTTAAAGTGTTCAAAAGACAAAAAGTGCTAAAATTGCATATTGAGTCATTTATCTTTTAAAATAAGCCTTCAGAGTCTCAAAAACTCTTCCGAAAAATTCTAAACATTCTTAGATTTAAATTCTGTCCGGAATAACATTTTAGTTGGTTAGTAGAATTGAAATTGTTATTGAAAAATTTGACTGAAATATTTAAATATTGAATTTCTTGAGAAAATTCTTTAGATGCTACCCTAATTAATTCAGGAAAGTTTTTAAAGTATTTTAGAATGATTAAGGCTTTAATTATTTAAATACTAAACTTCTGAAAGATAGCATTTCATTGCAATTTTACAGAATTTTTTTTATAAAATAGCGTTAAAGAGAAAGAACTTATAGAATTTATGGTCTATATATTTCTAATTAGGTTGTCTACTATATTTCTTTGCAAAACCATGATTGAACAAACAGACAATTGTCGTATTCTAAATTCTAAAAATTGATTCTTTTCCTTATTCTACTCTTTATTCAATCAGTTTTGCATACAGGTATGTTAGATCAGGAGCAAATATTTATATGACCGAATTCGCCTTCACAGGTACTCAAAATTCACTAACTTTAATGAATATCTAACTTACCAAAAATTCCGAAAATAACTAGAACAAAAATGAGCTAAAACAAGACCAAAATTGGAGCATCTTCTAGGAATCCCTCTGCCAAACCCAAAAGGACGAACTACCTGGAAATGATAATGAGGGCCTTGACTGTAATAGTTATCTCCTGTATGCTGAAACATCATGCCATTATTCTGCCAATGAGTATTTCCGATATTCATGGTGTTTCCAATAATGTTTTTGATTATTGGGTTTTGACCTACGCAATCTGTTAAAAGGCAACAGAGATTTGAATCACCAACATTTTTAAAGGAAAGTGAGGGGAAGTTAAGTAAGAGTATTACCTGAAGAAGCTGAATCTTGGGCATTAGAGGAAGACTCATTGTTGGGGGAAGACTGGTCTTGAGCACTAGAATCTGCATTTTGAGGGGAGTCTTGTTGAAGAGAGGGATCTTGGCCTATCTTCTTCTCATCGAAAGGGTTATTTATTTGGCTTTGGTCTTGAGAATCAATAATAATGTTTTGATCTTTATCTGGCACTTCTCCAGAGCTTTGATTAGGAGCTGGTTTCTGAGATTTTTCTGAAGAATTTTTCTTTCGATATACCTCTCTAGTGATCTTCTTCAAATAATTCTTTTGCATATACTCCTGAGAATCATCCTTAATCACTTTAAAACCATAGACCATTGTCTTGAGTGTTTCTTCTGTTAATGCCTCAATTATAATATCCTCATCAATGGCTTCATCAGAACCAACTTTAGATTTCTGATGTTCGCCAAACTCTTTTGTCTCTTCAGTGGAGTATGAATCCCCGCTGTTGTACCTTATCTCTTTGGCTGGATCACTTCACTTAATCTTCTGATTCATGTTAAGTATCTCAAGAGTATCTATCTGATGATGATTTTCTTTTAAGTCATCTCGTTCAAGGTCATCTTCTTCAATATTATCTATACACCAGCAATGTATTTATATTCAGCATCACCTTCAATTTAGGATTTTAATGATAAAAGTGACCAGATTCGAATAGGATTAAAACTCTAGCTTACATTCCAATTCCTTCATGGGGTTTAACTCAAAATCTTCAATTGGCCTGTAGGAAGAAGTGCTATTAAAAGGCACTAAAGCTCTACTCATCTCTTTGTTAATTGCATCCTCACTTTTTGACTCACTTGGAGGGAGTCACAAATGGCGATCTTGACCAACATTCAGGAGCTTTACCAAGATTAGTTTTTATTAGAATTGATAGTTATTGGAGATTTAGAGAAATAAAGATTTCAATCAATGCAAGCCAAGAATTTAGCTGCAGAAAGATTAGTCGATTTAGATAAGAATGGATCATCTTTAGTTCTGAGAGTAAGGCTAATCAAGATTGGAGAAGATTTTTCAGAGTTATTTTCAAAGAATGATTGAGGTTACACAGCTAACATATGATTTTATCAATAACGTAAAATATCAAAAGAATTCTGAGAATGAGCTTGGAATTTTAAGCTTAAAATGATGTTAATCTCAATTTATGTGTTACTCAATAAGATTTGCCAAAAAATAAATAATCTAACAATTTGAACATTCCAAAGACCCTCAACACAGATCATTTGAGATTACCTTAAGAGCTAATAGCTTAGCTTTCAATTCCTTTATCCATAAATTCTTCTTGTTCAACAAATTCTCTTGTTTCTTTACCATCTTCTCCATTCTTCTTGACTTAAACTGATCCTCTCTCTCAGCTTTCTCCAATCCTTCTCTCAACATATTTTCATACTTCTCCTAAATTAAAACCATTAACCTCCTCTAAATACAAAACCTTCACCCCAATTAACCAATTCTCCATCCCATTAATCAATTCTCCACCCCAATAACAACCCATCGAGGATCCAAATCTGTTCCCGTATCCTTTATCTAACCCAGTTCTCCCAGTGCTCCACCCCGGCTACCCCACCAAGTTGTACTGTCCCTTGCTAATTACCTTGGCCAAAGCCTCCATTGCTTGATACTTGGCTTTAAGATCCTTCCGTTTAGCATTAAACTGGTCGCATATGTGTTGGACTTGCTTGCGGGTCTTCCTCCTGACATCTTCTACAATGTCTTCTTGACTGCCCTCTCCTTTCTTGTACAGGGTGTCTATGATCTGGTCTGAGTCCTTTTGTTCCAGGTACTTAACATAAAGTGGATGCTTTCTAAGTTCTGTGAAAAGATTTCGCATATCTTCATCAATAGATTGGTACTCATCAAGTCATCCTTGCTTATCAGTGAGTTTCTTAAACCTCTGATTAATAATCTCCATTCTATCCTGGAATTCTTTACTAATTTTAATAACTTCAGCAGTTTCTACTACATCATCACGGGCATTAGTATACTCAGTAAACTCCTCAAGGGCCCAACAAATGCCCCAATAAAGATTTAATGTGTTCTTTTCTGAAACAAAATGCTTGGATGGCACATCAGAATATCTAATAGCATGGTGTAATTGACAGACTCTAAACCCATACTTCTTGACATTAACAACAGCTTTGTGCTCACAATGTCTCATCCTTCACTTCAAGTTCTCCATTTTGGCAATCATTATGTTAGACCTTATTTAAACGAATATTAATTAAACGGGGTTTTGGGGTTTTGGGGTTTTGGGGTTTTGGGG